TTTATTATTTTTAGATAGGTTGTTATCCTCCTTTTGGTTGCAAGTAAGCAAAAGGGTTCTACCTACGCCTTTATCTTGGCCAGAACCCCCTTGAGACCCTTCTAAACACAATAGTGATCATTCTCAAATGTAAGTCTGATCATGTGATTCTCCAATGGTTTTTCCATTTCTACCTGAGTAAAAGCCAAAGATCTGCTGATGACCCATAAGGCCTTACACCCTTTTCTCTCTGCCCTTGTTTCCTGCTGTGCTCCACTGGGTTCATTTTACTCCTGAATTCATCAGAGCCTTTGCACTGGCTGTTGCCTCTGCCTGGAATTGTTTTCTCCTAGTCTTCCCATGGCTCTCAGCTTCATCTCTTTCAGGACTTCACTTCTGTTAATTATGCTTCTTCTAGCTATACTATTTAAAATTTCCAATCTCCCCACTTCTCTTGACCCTTTTTTTGCTTTATTTTCTTCATAGCACTTATCCTGAAATTAATACATAAAGTTGAAACATATTAAATTGTCTGTATTCAATAAATCTTGACTGCCACCAAAAAGGCAATTTTGTATCATCCAAATCAATATATGTTTTACTTATTAACCTTTGTTTTCTGCCTTTCTCCATTAAAATTCCAGCTATTGAGGGAATATAGTTTTGTCTGCCCTATTATTTTGCTACACCTAGAACTGTACTTGGCACATAGTAGGTGCTCAATAAATATTTGTTGGATAATTTTTTTAAATAACCTACTTTCTTTCTTAATGCATTGCAGTCATCTCTCCATGACCATTTGAATGGGTCTCCCTTACTTCTTCTAAAGTCTGTCTGTCCCTGGTAGGCATAACCTTTGCATCCCTGAGAGCAGTCACCAAATATACTCTCCACCACCACCACCAGAGCAGCTCTGCAGGCAGCGGGTACAGATTTAACATCAGGTAGTCTGGAGTGGAATGACTTACTGAATCTCTGTGGCTATGTTACTTAACCTCTTTGGTCTTTAGATTTCCAATCTGTAAGACAGAGAAAATACCCCTGGCCTCAACCCTAGAAGGATTTGGGGAATGCTATAGTACATGGTGTAATATGCACTGAATCAACAGCTTATATTTCTGTTTGTAAAGATTTAGAGCAGCAAACATTTAAAAATTGTATATATATTTACATACATTTCCAGAAACACTTGCTAAGAGGTTTATCTGCATGAGTCAGCTTTCTCTCAGAAGTTTCCAGGAATAAATCACCCAGGCCACCCACAACTGGTCATACAATTGGTAGCTTGTCTCGCCTTCTGAGACTGTTATAGTTTTGTCCTATCTTCTTCCACTCAGAGTCACACTTAAAAAAAATACTTTGTTTGAACCTTAGCTTCCACTGTTCTCCCTACTCATTTCCCCATCACAGTTGCTTGGTTTTCATGTATGAGTTGAGGTGATCCCTTTCATTATTACCATATACAAAAAATATCACTCAGGATGCTTTCTGAAAAATAAGTAAGAGGTTCTCATTTCACAGCTGGAGGTACTCCACACTCTGAGGCCTCACATGGGAAGTCTATCAGTTAGCTATAGCTGCATGACAAACTGCCCTCAAAATATAGTAGCTTAGAATATAGTAGCTGATCTCAGCTGGACTCATGGATCTGAAGTCAGGTCTTGGGTTCAATAATCCAGGAAGGCCTCACTAACAAGTATGGAGGTTGGCTGGCTATTGGCTGAGGCAATGGGACAACTGAGCCATGTGCCTCTCATCCTCCTGGAAGCTAGCTCAAGTTTGTTTGCATGGTGGTCACGGGTACAAGAGAGCAAGCAGAAGCATATGCTCACAGATGTCACAATGTCACATCTGCCATATTATTTAGGCCAAAGCAAGTATTTAGGCCAAACAAGATTGGTCCAGATTCAATAGGAAGGGAGATCAACTCCACCTTTTGGCAGGAGGAGCTATAAACTCAAATAAAGGGTGTGAATAGAAGGAGGAGTAAGGGGTTGTAGGTATTTTTAGAATCAATTACTACAGGGTCTTTCTCAGGGTCAGGGAACAGAGCTGACCTATTCCAGATTATCAGGATAAATGGGATCCCAGTTCCTAGTGACTGCTGCAGAGTGCCAGTCTTTCTCAGGATGGAGACCCTGCAGTGACTGGTTTCTCAGACAGAGTCAGCTACCAGCTTACACTCAGCTTCTCTCTGGGGAAATGGGAAAAAGTTTTTTACCCTACAGATTCTAGCCCTACTCCTTACTTATTCCTACAGGGTCCCACAATTCTCTTTCTGAGCCAGTTGTGTTTGTTTTTCCCTTCACAGCCCCTTCTCTCTCCCCTCCCTGTCCTTCTCAGTCTTCCCCTCCTTGGTTCATTAAACTCTAACCTCCCTCTTTAACATCAAGTTGAAATGTCTCTGACCACTCTCACCCATTCCCACTTCTCCTCTCTTTAAATACTAACACACAATCAGCACTGCACATTTAGTACCTAAGTTTTTAGAGCCACCCATGCATGAAGCTCTCAGCAGATATCAGGGATTTTAATCTTCCTAATGCTTGAATAGATACTATTATTATCATTATTTACAAGTGGGCAGCTGGGCCTAGCAGGTGACTTTCCAAAGGTCTTGGAACTGGTGGTAAGGGGTGGATTCTGTTTTCAAAGCCAAGCTTGTCCTACTCCAAAACCCACCCTATGGAAGAAGCTATGGGTGTCCTGCCCACCCATGTGCCTTCATGCTTACCACTTCAGTGCATGTGGCTGGCCTTCCTTCCAGCTGCCAGTGCCTGAGTTTCTTTGCCTGACTACTTTCTCAGTGAGGTTTATTTTACCCATGTGGCAGTCTCAAGAACTGAAGGATTAACTTCCTGTGGGACCAGTGCTCAACAAACAACTGATAAGAGTGGTGTTTAGATACCCCAGGGTGGGGTAACTAAATTCCTGTCTACATTGGCTCCTGGAGTTCCCTGGTAGAACTGGGGTCCAGTTGTCCCCAGTGATAAATAGTGATGACACACCTTTATTGGTAGCTTTGCCCTCTCTGCCACACTCCTTCCTCCCCTACTGGCATTTCCTGGCAGCACTCTTGAATATACCACCTTTCCTCAGACCACATCTCAGGGTCTGTTTCTGGGTGGGTGGCTCAAACTAAGACATACCTCCTAACACCTTTGCTATTTTGCCCTCCCTTTTCCCAATTGCCTTATATTAAGTTGCAAGCTCCTTGAAGCTAGAGAAACTCAAACTTCTGTTGCCTTTTCCATAGCACCTAACCATACTCAGAACCTTAGATACTCTATAAATACTAACCCAAACCACTTTTTGATTCATGGATACTTCTAGGCTACAGATATGGAGCCAAAAGTCAACATCTGGCCCCTCTTCCTTGCAGACAGTTCAGCTCCTGTTTAAGATGCTGGTCAAATCTATGACAATTTGTAAATATTCCCAGGCACCTATCCTTTCCCAAATCATTCAAACAACTGCCCTGCTGAGTAGAAGATGAACCTTTGACCAGGCTAAGGACACACATGCAAGCCTGCTCCTGAGGGTCTTTGAAAATGCTTTTGGGCCTCCATGGGCTAATGTGACCCTAACAAGATCCCAATAAAAATCTGAAGTAATCTGATTTTTATTAGTTGTTTTTTTATATTCATGCATTAGAGAGTATGTAGTCCCTACCTAGCTGTACAGTGTCCAGTACTTATATGTAGGACAGAATTGGACTAGACTGGATAATTTAATAACTGGCCTCCCTTCCAGCTCACGGCTGTGAATTCTCTCCTGAGTGTTACACGATGTCCAAGCTCTCAGGAGGCTGGGCTCAAGGAGATTTAGAGAACAGGGACAGTGGTTCTGCTAGCCACTTCATACCTAATATATACTATTTCAGTTAACTCATCCTGTGAAGCAGAGTAATTACCTTCTTTCCCCTACTTTACAGATGAGGAAACTGAGGCTCAGTGAGATTATGTATCTCACCCAAGATAAGATGGCATTGGTCATAGCTCTTCTCTCAGTGTTGACAGAGGCACAGGAGAGCAAATGGAAATGTGTGATGAGACTCAGAACTGGCATACTGTTGTTCTGGACTCATAACACTGACCAAGTCTACATTTAGTGGCTGGAAGTTCTGCTTCTAGAGGGAGGAACTGCAAAATCCCATGACTAGTGTGGATCATACAGGGAGAAGGGAAGAACTGCAGCCAATAACTAACTTTATCTACGAGGAAGACAAAAATCAACACAAAGGAATGAATGGCTGGTGGGAAACATATGAGGAAGACTTTGGGGAGCAGGGTACATCCCTCGTTCTATTTCCCTCTCTCCTTACCCTATAGCCAACCAGATCCTGTCTTAGAAAATGAAAGACTTCTAATATCAAAACTATTTCAATGGAGAATTAATCCACTGTATTAATCTGAGCAGGAGAAAGCAGGAAAAATGTTCTGGATGGTTAGAACCTGAGCTCTCAAGAGATGGAGCTATTAAAATCTTTGGGCCAACCAGTTGACTTACCTGTAATTCTTTTCTTTGGTCACTTTTTGGGGATAACTAAAGAAGCAAAGCTAGAAATAGTTAAGCAGACTCCAATAGAGATATCTCAGTGACATTATAAACTTAGGAAATATAACAACTGTGAGACATTCAGAGAAAAAATAACTAACTTAATTGAGTGTTGCTGTCACTATATACTTCCACTTTTTTTCTGAGTTCAGAAGAATCCTTGCTCCTTTGAAGTTAGGTATGAACATATGATTTTCTCATGGTCAACGAAATGAGAGTATAAGTTGAGGGAATCACTGTGGGCAGAGGCTTTGAGAGACACTGTGTAATTCACCACTGTGTTGTACTCATGCAAGTGTATGTTGAGAGGGAATCTCCATGAGCTTAAGTCTCAAAGTGAATACAACAGATGATGGTCACCTGATGACGTGTATTGAACATATAGCATAAGAAAGAGGTCAACCTGTCAGCTAATTCCTGACCTTCAGAAACTAAGTGAGATATACTTGTTTAAGCTGCTACATTTAGGGTATATTTGTTATGCAGCAATAGATAACTAATACACTGGCAAAATTTAATTCCCATTTTAAGTAAACTTGTCCATTCTTGTATATAAATATGTACTAGGATATTTGGCATGATTTTCATATAAAGGGAATGATAGTCACTTCTGGTGGTGAACTTTGGGTCATTCTTTCTTGTGTTCTTTTTATATTCTTGGATTACTTTTAATAACAAGCATGTATCATTTAAGTTAGAAACAAAAATAATGACTCTGAGCCTGGGTCTAGGTACAGAACACATCATTTCCCAGGTGGCAGAGCAAGGAGGTGTGCTTACAAGAAGCAGGAGCACCACTCCTTCAGGCAGTTAGAACTCTCCTGGGCTTCACACTCTGTGGCACCACAACAACAAATGAGCCACCTCTGGAACTCAGCTTCATTCTTGTGCATCAGAAGGAACTGTCCCAGCAGGGTGTAGGCCTGTGGGGAGGGGATGAAGCAGGGAGGAAAATGGGAAAGGTTATAATAAACTTGCTCAGATATGCCATTCCTTCCCCAACATGAAGACCCATGTGAAAATTGCAGAAAGGGCAGGTAAGATTTGAGGGAGACTGGCAGTCCTGAAAATCCTGAGTGGGAGATGGGGATTTGGGGACAGACCTTTGGTGAGATGTTAAATGCCCATCACTTGAGGCAGGTTTAGAGGCTGTCCAGTCTGGGATGAACCAGAGCCTGGCCTTCTCCACATTAATGAGCAGTACATGAATCATCTGGAATCTTGTTAAAAGGTAGGCTTTGACTCAGTAAGTCTGAAAGTGACCAAGAGCCTGCATTTCTAACACACTCCTGGATGAAGGTTGTCCAAGGAACACATTTTGAGTAGCAAGAGCCCAGCATACCTCTGATGCTACCTTAGAGCCTTTGATCTTGTATTTCTCTCTTACACACACACACACACACACACACACACATACATACACACACACACACACACACACATACATACACACACACATGGAGTTAGACATCTCCACTCTACTACTTTCTCAATTATTCTAGCAAAGAGTTTCTAGCCCTTGGCACTGTTGACATTTTGGACAATTGTGTGTTGGGGTAGAGGGTAGTCATCCTGTGCATTATAGGAAGTTTATCAGCATCCCTGGGCTCTACTCACTAGATGTCAGTAGCACACCCCCACTCCCCAAACTGTGACACTCATAACCATCTCCAGACATTGCCATGGGAGATGCCATAAAGGCCATCTTAGCACCAATTTGCTTCAGTGTGAGAACCCACAGAACCTTGGCCTCAGTTTCTGCATCTTTTGAAGGCTAAACACAGTATGCTTTGCCCCATTCCACAAATTGAATTGAGTTCAATGTGAGAGCATTAGAATAGTGTAAATTCCTTTATCAACCTGAATACACAGGCCTGTGAGTGAAGCAGAAGTCATAAAACACATCCATCTTTCCCTTCTGAAGAGCCTCTGAGGATGAAAAACACATGTAAAATAAAGATTCCAGGGTTCCCAGTCTATGGCATTCTTAGTTTCCTAACTACTTGCCCCACAACATTTCATTTCTTTTTACAATTTAATCACATTCTAACGAGGAGCAAGGACCACATAGAGAGAGGGACATTTAAGATCATATGGCCACAGTTGGGTCCAGCCACCAAACAGTGAAGCCTGGATACTTGAGGTCCGGTTAAATGTCCAACTTGCAGAGTGGTTTGGGGGCACTCCAGCCTGGAGTGGACGAGAACCAGTGTCCATACAAGCTCTGTGCCATCTCTAGGAAAACCCACTGACATCTGTTTATGTTCAGGTCTACAAAACAAAGCAAACTTCATTTTGACCAAAAGGAAAATATTTTTTAAAAGATAAATTAAATAAAAGCTGAACCCCAGTCATAAAATATACCTGGGCATTGAAGTTTGGGGTTTCTTAGTTTGAATCATTGTCCAGTTGGTAAAAAAAGAAAAAACCCAGGATTTCATGGACATTTAAAACTGCTATTTTAATTATCCTAAAAAGCAGTATAGTTGCTTAGAATGATTTTCTTTTTCTTTATAAGTATAGTTGAATTTTCAGTGATGGATTTTATTTACTGAGATGTTTTTAATCAGACATTTAAAAAATTAAAATTTATTGAATGTTAATTGAATTAATTGCTACAGTAGGTTTGGGAAGTACCAATGTGAATATAAAAGTATCAAGAGACACAGAGCTGTCCAGCCAATATGGAGTTGTAAGTAGACACACTGTGCCTCCTCACACAAACAAAAGAAGGACAACAACAAATTTAAAAACAAAAAACAACCAGAACTGCCAAAACACTAAACTGTATGGAAGTCTGACAACCAAGGAGTTAAAGAAGAAATATTCATCCAGACCGGGAAGAGGGGTAGAGATGGGCACCTGGGTGGAGAGGACTTGTGGCAAGGCAGCTGCTGGAGGACTGGGGCAGGCAAGGCGGTGGCAGGCGGACCCAGTGAGGCCGTGGCTTGCAGACTGGGTGGTCCCACATTCACATAGATAAACCAGGAGGAACAACAGTGGATCGAGATAGACTGTGCAACCCAGGGCTCCAGTGTGGGGAAATAAAGCCTCAAAATCTCTGACTGAAAACACCTGTGGGGGGTGAGGTGGCAGGAGAAACTCCCAGCTTCACAGGAGAGTTCGTTGGAGAGATCCACAGGGTCCTAGAACATACACAAACCCACCCACCTTGAAATCAGCACCAGAAGGGCCTAATTTGCTTGTGGGAAGCAGTGAAAGTGACTGAAAGCCAGCAGAGAGCGGAGCAAGTGCCATTGTTCCCTCTAGGACCCCTCCCCTACATACAGTCTCACAATGTAGCAATGTGGGTTGCCCTGCCCTGGTGAACACCAAAGGCTCTGCCCCTTACTATGTAAGGCATGCTGAGACAAAAAAATCACAAATGGCCCAAGTAAAAGAACAGATCAAAGCTCCAGGAAAAATACAACTAAGCGATGAGGAGATAGTCAAACTATCAGATGGACAGTTCAAAACACTGGTTATCAGGATGCTCCAGGAACTCACTGGGTACTTCACCAGTATAAAAGAGACCCAGGCAGCAATGAAGGTTGCATTATGTGAAATAAAGAAAAATCTACAGGGAACCAACAGTGACAAGAAGGGAACCAGGACTCAAATTGACAGGTTGGAGCAGAAGGAAGAAAAAACATTCAACTGGAACAGAATCAAAAAACAAGAATTCAAGAAAATGAGGAGAGGCTTAGGAACCTCCAGGACATCTTTAAATGTTCCAACATCCGAATTATAGGGGTGCCAGAAAAAGAAGAACAACAGCAAGAAATTGAAAATTTATTTGAAAAAATAATGAAGAGCTTCCCTAGTCTAGCAAAGGAAATAGACTTCCAGGAAGTCCAGGAAGCTCAGAAAGTCCCAAAGAAGTTGGACCCAAGCAGGAACACACCAAGGCACATCATAATTATATTACCCAAAATTAAAGATAAGAAGAGAATCTTAAAAGGAGCAAGAGAAAAGGAGACAGTTATGTACAAAGCAGTGCCCATAAGACTGTCAGCTGATTTCTCAAAAGAAGTTTTACTGGCCAGAAGGGGCTAGAAATAAGTACTGAAGTCATGAAAGGCAAGGACCTACATCCAAGATTACTCTATCTAGCAAATCTATCATTTAGAATGGAAGGACAGATAAAGTGCTTCTCAGATAAGGTCAAGTTAAAGGAGTTCATCATCACCAAGCCCTTATTATATGAAATGTTAAAGGGACTTATCTAAGAAAAAGAAGATCAAAACTATGAACAGTAAAATGACAACAAACTCACAGCTATTAACAACTGAACCTAAAAGCAAAAACAAAAAGAAACTAAGCAAACAACTAGAATAGGAACACAATCACAGAAATGGAGATTACATGGAGGGTTATCAGTGGAGGAGTGGGGGGGGGGATTTGGGGGTAGAGAAGGGGAAAAGGTACAGAGAATAAATAGCATAAATGGTAGGTAGAAAATAGGGGGAGGTTAAGAATAGTATAGGAAATATAGAAGTCAAAGAACTTATATGTACAACCCATGAACATGAACTAAAGGGGGGAATGTGGCTGGGTGGGGGTCTCCAAAATGGAGGGGAATAAAAGGAGGAAAATGGGACAACTGTAATAGCATAATCAAGAAAATATATTTTTAAAAAAGGATATTATGGGTAAACTGAGGAATTATGAATAAATCATGGACTTTGGTTCATGAAACTGTAACAATATTAGTTCATTAATTGCAACAAATGTACTAATGTAAGGTGCTAGATAGGGAAAACCGGTATGGATAAAAATAGAGTAGAAGAGATTGTCTGATAATTTAGTAACAATCCCAAATTTTATAGGAGAATGCCTTTTGTTTTGTTCTATCTTTAAAAAAAAAGAAAAGAAACACAGAGCTTTGTCTAAGTAGAGAGAACACTGATGGTTTTGGTGATAGTTAAGTGGCAGTTCGGAATACCTTTGGTGGGCTCCAGGCCCCTGGAACATTTTAATCCTGATCCTCATGTGTGCCTGTCCCATTAGGTTAAGATTTCTGTTTTCCTCAGCCCCATGTTTTGCATATTTCAACTATCCACAGTCTGGCCAGGCATCTATGGAGCCCTCTGCCTTTTTTGAGGCCTTGCTGCTGGTATCTGCTGGTCTGGTGTTGGAGACTCCATGTCTCCACTGGGATCAGCAGACAAGAAGCCAGGGAATGCATGGTACATAGGGCCAGAGGCAAACTTTCCAGGAATGCTGCAGGAAGAAGGTCCTCATCTTGCAGCCTCTAGAGCCAAATTGCAACCTGACGCCCTCTTCTTCATTTTCTCTCTAGTCTCACACTGCTCCCTGCCATCCATGGGGAGGGCAAGTTAGCTTGTTTCACTCTGCTCACAAAGGAAGGAGGCACTGCCAGAAGCCCACTTGGTTTCTCTTCTGGCTTCAGAAAGCCAGCCCCTAACCCTGGAGAAGAGAAACTTCCCCTCTCTGTCCTTGCGCCAAAGCTCAGAAAAATCTGGCTGTGGGGATGGTGACTTAGAGAAACAGAAACCCTGAGCAGACATTCCCACTCTCCCACCACCCTGGACAAGTAGCAACCTTGAAGCCAGGGATGTTCATTCTTTCCCATGGCAGCCATGCCCACATGGGTCAACTGTGGCATACTTCCCCTCAAGTCCAAGTCCAATGAGCAGGTCTGAACAACTCTCAAGTTTGCTGTGCCAATTTCTTGCCAAACAGTAGCAATATTTGTGTCTGCACCAGAGTTAGGTTCCCTTGTCTGTGACCCACACAGTCATACTGGGCCCAGCACTCAGAAGGCCCAACTTAATTTAATGCTCTGCTGCTGCCATCTTGAAATTCTCAATACATTTAAACAAGGGGCCTCACATCTTCATTTTGCGCTAGGCCCCGCAAATTAGATAGCTGGTCCTCATTCACACTAGTTAAAATGTGC